ATGACTGAGCGCTGAGATAAGACTGAAGGGCTATATAAGGCATAAGAGCGCTAAATAGACAAAAGTGCGCTCAAAAGTACATAAGAGTAGTGAATGAATGAGCGATTGGGGAGACATCTGTCTCACTCCCCTCCTCTTAGACCGAATACGCTTCCGAAGACAGGGACGACTGCCGGGAAATGGCAGACGACATGTCCATATGATTCAGTACTGTTGTCGTTGAGGGCAGTGATGTCTGGCGTCGGTATTGTCGATGCATTGCGATGTGTTGGCGAGTTTTTGAACCAAATGTGATTTAAACGTGGGCACTGAGACTTCCAGTGGTGTTCAGCGATCCCGAGTCCATAGTAGCAGTGAGGACAAGGCGTTGTCGGTGTCGTCAATCGTGACCAACGTGAGTCGAATCGTTGTTGATTTGTGGCATCGTTTGTGTGGTTTTGCTGTGGTTTTGCTTTTCGTGAGTCAATTGATGCGATACTGCGCGCACGATTGACAATGACTGGAGTCAATGTATGACTCGCGGCTGTACGACCACTTCGCAGTGTTGGTGGTGTTTGGCCGGTTCTGTTGTGCGGCTTATCATTCATATAGTTGGAGACGGGGTCTCGAGTGATGCCATTGTTAGGCATATTGGCGGTACTGTTGTGTTTGAAGCGATAGCTGTTGCGGTTTGCGTTTCGTTTGTGTGTTTGACATGAATGGCATGAACGCACGTATTGACTGACGTCTTTGTCTTTGCCGGGCCACCAGTAATGGCGACTCAGTAGTTGGAGTGTCTTTGAGGCACTCTTGTGGTTCAGTTCGTCGTGAAATTGTTTGATTGTTTTGGTGGTCAGTGAAGGCGGGACCACAATGCGGTCGATTCCATTGAATCGGACTCTTGTTATGCCATTGGTTGTGATTGGGTTTCGCAAATGGTAGTCTTTGAGTTCGTGCTGACGCTCTGCTATAGAGTGTAAATGTGATGATTGCTGTTCTTTGGGTTCAATGAAAGAGACAGGTCTGATGTAACCGATTCGCGGCGTACATGTGATAAGTGTGTGCACGTGTGGGCGCTTAAAGCTAACTTCGAGTTCGAATAGCTTTGCGGCGTCTGTTCCGATAAGCATATCGCTTGCAAAGTCTTTGAATACATGAATTGGCAGTCGTTTTGTTTGGTTGCCGATGCGGACCGTAGCGTCGATGCGGCCCTCGGTAAAGGTGTCGCCATTCACTTGATTTATTGATATAGCAGTGCCTGGAATGGGCGTAAAGTTGAGACGTTTGGCAGCGCTTAACGACATGGCTGTGATGAGCGATCCGGTGTCCAGAAAGGCACGGATTCGTCTTCCATTGACCTCTAAGTCGAAATACTTGAAGTCGCTGTACGTCATGGCATTTGATGTGTTGTTTGCTTGGGTCGGGCCGACCAGTGAGAGTGGTTGTGTGTGCTGTTGTGCCGACTCAATCTGTGTATTGGTTTGCGATTGGTTTCGATTGAGAGGACAGTCTGACCTCCAGTGCATTTCCTGTTTGCCCTGTCGTTGACAGTCAGGACACGGATAGGGTGGCGGTCTGTTGGCGCCGTGTTGGTACCGTTGCTGTCTATTAAATGTGTTGTGTGAGGACTCGTCGTCCGTTGTGTTGTGACATTTGTTGTCAAATGGTTTTGCGAAATGCTGTCTCTTTGATTGTTCAATATTGCGGGCGATTTCCACCCACTCCTTTACAGATTTCGGGCGATGGCCAGCAACAGTTGTTCTGAACCAATCGGGTAATCCGTCCTGAAGTAGCGATAGTTGAAGGTGTTCGGGAACGACGGCCTTTGAGAATAGACTTGCCATTGCGTTATAAAAAGCAGAGACTGTTTCGTTGCCTTGTTGCCATTTGCGGGCTTTTGCTTCAGCGAAAGCGTCTCCTCGATATATGTCAAATCTGTCGATCAGTTGTCGTTTACATTCAGACCAAGACATGGAGTCCAAGTGCGACGTCACTACCCGAGCGTACCACTGGAGTGCTTCTGCGGACAGGTGTCGCGGAAGTGCGAGTACGCGTTCACGATCTGTATAATCTATAGTTGTTTACATTCAGACCAAGACATGGAGTCCAAGTGCGACGTCACTACCCGAGCGTACCACTGGAGTGCTTCTGCGGACAGGTGTCGCGGAAGTGCGAGTACGCGTTCACGATCTGTATAATCTATAGTCACGGTCTCGTAGATGAGAACCCAGTCGTCGATATTAACGCTGTTTGCTGTGCCGTCGTATTTGTCGCACAAGAGATGAGATGTCTTTCGTGACATTGGTTGCGTTTGAATTGAGTGATCGGTTTGTTCACGGTCTCGTAGATGAGAACCCAGTCGTCGATATTAACGCTGTTTGCTGTGCCGTCGTATTTGTCGCACAAGAGATGAGATGTCTTTCGTGACATTGGTTGCGTTTGAATTGAGTGATCGGTTTGCGAGACCGACTGTTGGAGTATTTGCGGCCCTATTGAAGGCGCCGTTGTGTGAGTTAATTGCGGGTCCGTTTGTTGACTGAAAGGCGCGGCCGATGTCTGAATAAATGGTGCAGCCGTTGGCTGATGTAATGGTGCGGCCGTTTGTGCATTGGATTGCGGACCCGATTGCAGTCCTGTTTGCGAACTGAGTTGTAAATGACTTGCTGTCTGTGTGGCGGACGGCTGTGCCCGCGATGACAATGGCGTTTGCATTGTATTGGATGACGACCCGAAGTCGTAGCGAATCATGCCTGATCCAGATGTGCTGTTATGTGCGATTGGCTGCGGAACGGCGGCTGACTGTGGCGAAGATGCAGGCGCTGTGACATTGACTGTCGCTGAGGCCTGAGTTTGTGGCGCCAAAACTGCCATTCGTTGAACCAATCGAGTGATCTCGTCGTCGCCGATCGTATCGACAATAGATGCGCGAGTAGTTGCACCTCGTGGTGAAGCTGCGGCTCCTGTGAGTCTACGGCCAGTTGTGACTCGCGGTAGACGTCCTCTTCCTCTGCTACTCATTGTGAATGACTTGCAGAAAACGCGTTGACTTCTATGTAGTGATTGCCGACAAAAGCGACGATTTGGACAATAAGTTCTGTGTAGGGATTGAGATCCTGCCGATTGCGCCAATTGAGCGACGATAGAGTCACTCTTAATGATATTCAGTCGCGATTTGAATCAATTAACTGTTTTATTGAATAAATTGGACCGAAAATGAGATACAAAAATGGCGTTCAGGTATGACTGAGCGCTGAGTATTGAGCGACGATAGAGTCACTCTTAATGATATTCAGTCGCGATTTGAATCAATTAACTGTTTTATTGAATAAATTGGACCGAAAATGAGATACAAAAATGGCGTTCAGGTATGACTGAGCGCTGAGATAAGACTGAAGGGCTATATAAGGCATAAGAGCGCTAAATAGACAAAAGTGCGCTCAAAAGTACATAAGAGTAGTGAATGAATGAGCGATTGGGGAGACATCTGTCTCACTATTACAGGAATTGGCATCAAATTTAATTATTGATAACTTGGATCTTATTATTTTTGATGTCATCACATATTATCACACAATGTTACTGTTATTTATAGGTTAAATACATGTACAGTATATCTCAATTATAAATCTTCAATGAAATGCACTTTTTAATATGATTTTTCAAACAATTGATATACAGTTGTGTATTTTGTTTCCGTAAATCCTCACTTTTTAGCTGTGAATAAAACATAACTCATGATCACACCTCCAGTTAGAGTGACCACACCTACAATTAGAGTGACCAACCGTCCCATTCTTTCGGTCCCACATCAAAACGAAACAATTGATGGCAATTAATAGCATCACATTATACTGTACTCATACCTGAATGCAAACGATATCCTATATTTTGTATCACATTTCAAATCAAGTATCAAAATCAAGTCTATGTTATGTTTGTTAAAATCCTTTTCAATTTTATATCATTTTTGTCGCAAAACATTAAATAAAGAAATAATTTTGAATTCATATTTAAAAATCGTTATTCGGTTTTTGTTACTATTATTAAACTTAAAAATGCATATATTTTTAAAAATGTTTACATATTTTAACACTTCATTCAGTTTTTTGGACAAAAAATTAATTAAGAATTGATTATCAATTATTCCCATTCAGTAGTTCCGGGGGGTTTGGGGGTCAAGTCATAAAGCACTCGAGATATTCCGGTAATCGTCTCTATCTCTGTCGCCATTTGTCTAAAAACCTGTCATTGAAAACATAGAAATGAATCAATTGTTTGGAATGAGTCCACAATGAGAATCAATGGTAACCTCTATTGGTATGTGTCGATTAGGTATTGCGGGAACGCCTGTCATAAAGTCTTCGGTGATGAAAGTCCTGATGACAACGGATCGCTGACACGACGGCTTCGTCGACGCCACGTCTCTATCGAAATGGATTGGAATAAGGATTACAGGCATCTGAGAGACGGCGCCTCCGTATCCCTTAGCCATCAGCGTTTTGGTGGCAATACTATCGGCTTCTCTCAGTTGGGATAACACGTGTGGCGTTAGACATGTGTGAGTGATGTCGTGGACCGGATGTTTCACTTCATCGCCGAATATATAACAGACTCTATTGATGTTATGGCAGATTCGAGGAATCAGTTTCGCTAAAACGCTCAGATCTTCGAACTTCTTGGTCTCGTTATCGGCTCTCTTGGCGTCGGTCTCCGAGAGGCCGACAACATAGCTGTACGACCGACAGTCGCCCTGAACGCCGACACTTCTGATCGGCAGTAGAGTTGCCTTAAAGCCATAGGTTTCCGAAAACCGAAGCAAAAACTTTTGGTCTTCTTCTTCGACAGCGTTTTGAACTTTACTAATGAGTGCGTGTTTCTGACGGAGGAGACAATTATCATCACATAATTAGTATATTTAGCGCACTATTGCGCGACATTACGGTTGAATACCTTATGCAGAGACTCGGTGTAGGAGACAATCACTTTCACTAAACTCGTGGTCTCAGAGAAGTCTTTCTCCATAAAGGGTTCGTCGGCACAGATTATACGAACGGCGAGTCCCGGACCTGGAAAGGGATGCCTTTGGACGAGATCTGCTGGCAGTCCCAGATCTCGGCCGAGTATTCTGACCTCGTCTTTGTGAAAGTCTTTGAGCGGTTCGACTACCCGTCCCTTCTCTCTCAGTTGTCTGACTAATTCTGTGTCGTTATGATGTGTTTTAATGGCGTCGGCGTTACCCGAAGCCAACGCAGACGCACTCTCGATGAGATCGGGCCGAAGGGTTCCCTGACCTAAGAGGACTTCGTCGGGCTTTAGTTTCAGTGCTTTAATTAAATCATCGGATATGTGAACAAATGTGTCGCCAATTATTTGCCGCTTCTCTTCGGGTGCTATTGTTTGACACAACGGTTTTGTTGTCCGCTTTCTATGCGGTTCGGCCTTTGAGACCGAGACAGTTGTCGTCGCGTTATAGAACTGATACGAGGCGTCAATCACTATATAATACAATCACTTCATAAGTATAAACATTTCTAATCTCAATAAAATACCATTAAGTTTGAGTCCGACGTCTTTCAATGACTTTTCGACCGCTAGGCTCTCATTCTTTCGCATAAACCCGTTATCGATGTGATAAGCAATCACTTGATCTTCTTTTAGTGACTTATGTAGTAATGCCGCGCAAACCGTTGAGTCCACACCACCGCTGACTAACATCTGATTTAATCGTATGGTTTATAATTAGTTTTTCAATTTTAAAAACGTCTATCAAATTGAGAACTAACTAAGACTTTGTTGTTTCCAACAGTTTTGCGAATGTAATCAATGCATTCAGTCTCTCGCGACTGCATTGTGAAAGTGCCGCTCAAACCCGAGATATCGTACAAGAAGTTCTTCAACATCTCTTTGCCATTTGTGGTCAGATCTACTTCCGGATGGAATTGCATTCCATATAATCTCAGCTTCTCGTTGGCGATCGCTATAATCAAATGTCACAAACAATTTGTTTACATTAACTCTAATTAATGCGAGTCTATTAGATATGTTGAATGGCAACTGACCGACAATAAGGCTCGACTTTCCAATCACTTTGAAACCATCGGCGACCTGATTCACAGAATCGCCGTGAGTTAAGAGCACCTCTTGGCTCGGCTCTAAGTTTCTGTAAAATACAAATTGATTATATAATTGTTGTCAAAATCCTCTTATAGTTGAGAATCTAACCGAAAAAGTGGCGAATTTGTGTCCACATTGATAGCGAACTGTCCGTCTTCGCGAGCGTCCTTGCGATGGACAGAACCGCCGAACTCTTTGTTCAACATTTGCATTCCATAGCAAATGCCCAGAACTGGTAAACCGATTTTGAAGATCTCCGGATCGTAGGCCAGAGCGTCGGTCGCGTATACACTGCCCGGACCTCCAGATATGATGATAGCTCTGTTTGGGTCACAATATATGGCGTCAATACTCGCCAATAAGTGGCAAAAATCATGTCATATAAATACTTGTATCCGTCGGACAGCAGCTTCTGGTGGGAAGTGTTGAGCGGAAGGATCTGAGACTCGACAAAGAGTTCGCGGACCCGACGGTCGATGCACTTCCCGTATTGGGCGCCGCAGTCGAGGATTGCCACTCTTTGCGAGTGAAGTAAACCATTGATTACATGACTATCACTGTTCTGGTCATACATTGTTGTGTCGGCGAGTGATCAGTGGTCTCAAGGGTTTAAACCAACAGAAGTTATAATAAGCGGTAAATCTGTGCGGAGGAAGAAGAACGAGATATAGAGGACATGAGAGACCAATAATGGGATCAAATGATGTGTTTTGTCTTTGAGATGAAACCAATTGACAGCGAAATACCTGTTGTGTTAAAGCGGTGTCTCGTTTGGTGTGAAACACTTATAAACAATATATGTATACAAATATAACATAACATTAATGTTAATAATAAATTAAAATGTATTTACAAAGCGATGAATACAAATGAAAACACAATTAAAACATTCATTAAATTAAATTAAAATCAACTGATTTGAGGATTAAATGCATTCTCACATCAATTCAGACATGTTTTAGGCATTTCTAACACCACTCATAACGTTATGCCGCCCTTCAGTGCCCGCACTCACAGCCATTCAACACACGTTTCAGTACAACAATGTCTACAAACATCTATTATATTGTGTACTCTGAGAGTAGGCATGTGTTGAGGATGTGCTGCACACAGAGAGCACACAGAGATGCCCAACACATTCATTATCCAGAAGGGGATACCCCTCTCACTCTCGCACATCACTTAGACATCACTTATACATCCCATACGTATCCTTACAAACCTTTTTAAAATTCTTTTTCAAACTTTTATGGCAAATATATTTGCCATAAAATCACATCGATTTGCAAAAATGTATAACATTTACAGTTATAAAAATAATAGTCAATTGCTGACAAGTTTTTTGTATGAATTACTATACTTACAAATTGATAGGGATTTGTCGGTAAAGAAAAGTTTGAAACCAATTTTCAATCAAATCCTCTTTCGAAGCGCTTTCATACGAATCACAAGAAATCGATGTTTACTCTCAAGTTATATAAAAACATATGCCTTTCCTCTGCTATTCAGATCTATTAGCCCTTCAAATGATTGGGAAATCCAATAACTATCTGCTGATTGAGATAAAGAATCAATTGATTTGATTGTGAAAAACAATTTTTCATTTATTTGATTAATTTCTTGAATTTTTGGTTTATCGGTGAAAAAGTTTGAAAATTCATACAAATATTTACTTAAAGTGTTTGCAATTCAATACAAAAATTGTGGTTAAATTTGAGTTATTTGTTACGAATAGGAGTCAAATGTACCGAAACTCTTCTCTATGAAGAGAAGTCCGAAAAACAAATCACTGATTATTTTTTGTCGTTTTAAATACAGTAATAAATGATAAATAATTGATAAAATAAATGTCTTTAGAATATCGTATGACATGTAAGCTTTAATATTAGTTGTATAACTGTTACCAACTCTGTAGCTGTCAATGAAATGCATAAATTTAAAATATATTTGATAATTAATATCAATATTAGTTTAATTTTAATCAATACTTTTGGAAATTCATAAAATTTCATTTAAACCATTTAGCCTTCACTGAAGTCTAAAAGTCTGTCTTTTAAGTAATTTTGTGATAAATAAATGTTAAATATTAACAAAAAACACATAATTTTTAACAAAATGGAAAATATATAAAATTAAATTAATTTAAATGAAAGTTTCAAATGAAAAAGCATTATGTTTTGGCACCACTTTTGTTGAGTTGAGAGGCAATCACATCGTTTTTAACTAGAAATTAATTCACAGATGGATTAACTAATGTATGTATGACTAGTGGAGAGCACTTACTTTGTTGGTCAGTCACTCTCTCAAACTCTTTGAGAGCGTCGGACGCATTGTTGTGCAGAAAATCACTTTCATTTGTTTGCAAAGAGTCGCCTAATTTTCTCAATGCAATCAAAATCTCCACTTTTTGCTGGACATACACTTCAAGCGATAGTTTGCCGATCTTTGAGTCCCTTTCGATCTAAACAATACACACATTATTGATATACTCTAGAAATGCATCAAATGGTGTGCATTAATGGCCAATACCTGAGCCAATCTGATCCTGAGCTGATCGGGTTGTCGTTTGGCAAACAGACGAATCACTTCTGGGGTGTGAAACGCTTGACTAATAGCCGCTTGAATTGCCTGAAGAGATAAATGATAGCAAACATCACATTTGATAAGTGATGGCAAACACGAGTGATGTTTGCATACAAACCAATTGCATTGAATTCAAGTCATCGATTAAAGTCATATTTCCACACTTCATGGCAGACAAGGATTGACTGAATTCTTCCAACTGTTCCAATGTCTCCTTCTTTGTCTCTTCGTATTCATCGCTGTCTAAGTCAACCCTATTTAGTAACAAAGTTTTTTAGTGGTTCCCAATCTTTCTATTCATTTTCTATTCATTCAATTTATAGTTTAATTCTCTCTCTCTCTCTCTCTCTCTCTCTCTCTCTCTCTCTCTCATGTGTGGCAAGTGATGGACAGTTGGGATGTGATGCCTGACTAGTGATAGTAATGCCATCAGTGGTAACAATAAGATGAGTGGAAATGACATTTACTTGCATTCCTCGAGATCAGCCAATTGAGCGACGAGTCGGTCCAACTGGTCCTCCAGATTGGTCTTCAATTGTTGCGTTTCTGTGGTTCCCCTCGACATCACTTCAACTGATCCTCAAATCTAATTACAATTCAGATTTTATTTACCATTAAATCATAAATTTGTCACAATTTGTATCAACGGATCCAATATTACAGTTGTATTGAATCACATGTTTTGCGACAATAAATACGTTAACTTTTACGACACTTTTGTTTTCATTGAAAATTATTTATTAAATCATTAATTCATTGATTTAATGATTTAAACCATTATAAGAGTTAAAACTAAAACATTATTTAAGTATAAAAATAAAAATTAATTGATTTTTAAATAATTAATGAGAAAATAATTGCAACAAAACTGCTCTAAAAGACACATATTTTATGGACTTTTCAATTGTTTTGATATTTATTTTTTGTAAAAAATAATAAAAACAATATTTTAATCATTGAATTGACGGCTAATTGAAAGACATCTTCAGTGAAACGATGGAAAACAATGGTATGAATTGATTGTTTAAGTTTGTCTTCAATGATCTCATTTACATGTGATTGAAGGCAACGCCGCAGACATTGTCTCCGAAAGCGATTCAATGGACGACAACAACCAAATGGACACAAATAGCTCTCAAAGTATTGAATGAATGCATTGAATGGCAACTGAATTAACGATTGAGTTGTATTGCAGATGAAACTGCAGACGAGCCCGAAGTGTCTTTGGATTTGGAAGCGCTAGAGATTGAGTTGAATCACTCGAAGATTCAGTCGATGGATATGTTGAGTGTATTGACGAGAACCGAGTGTTTGGGTCTCAGAAATAATGTGATTAAGAAGATCGAGGGTTTGAACCAATTGGTGACTCTTCGGGAACTCGAGTTATATGACAATCAAATCACTAAAATCGAGAATTTGGACGCTTTGGTCAACTTAGAGTGAGTTCATGGCATCTATTGGTTGTGTTATTCATTTGACTAATTGTCTTCTTTGGTGATAGAGTTCTTGATCTGTCGTTCAATCGGATCCGCAAAATCGAGAATTTGGAGAATTTAGTGAATTTGAAAAAATTGTTTTTAATTAATAACAAGATCTCGAAAATAGAGAATGTGTCAGAACTGGTAAATCTGGAACTCTTGGAGTTGGGATCCAATAGGATTCGTGTGATCGAGAACTTAGACAATTTGGTTAATCTGAAGAGTCTTTTCGTGGGAAAGAATAAGATAACAAAATTGGATAATTTATATCCGTTGAAGAATTTAGAGCTCTTAAGCATTCAAAGCAACCGAATCATCAAAATAGAGGGTTTGGATCAGAACCACAACTTGGATCAGCTCTATATCAGCAATAATGGCATTTCAGTCATCGAAGGTCTCGAGCAAAACAAAAAGCTTCAGACATTGGATATAGCGGTGAATCGGTTGAAGAAATTGCAAAACATTGAACATTTGGCTCAATTGGAAGAGTTGTGGTGTAATGACAACGGCGTCGACGACTGGAAAGACTTGGAACTATTGAAAGAGTTGCCAAACTTGCGGACCGTTTACTTTGAACGCAATCCCATCGCTAGTCACCAAATGTACAGAAAGAAAATTATGTTAATTTCGCCACAAATCACACAAATTGACGCAACGATGTGTCGCTCGTAAACACCTTTTATATTCTAGTTTTTGACCTTTTTTTTGTTACTTTTAATCTTTAACATTGTATAACAAGCAGTGCCTAAATCTTAAGGGCTATACACTTACCGACAGTGTCGGACATCACTGACCTCTAGGTTACGCTTATGTGTTATAGTTGTAAGTGTTGTCACATTCACCCCATCCCTCCCCCTTCCGGCGCATCGGTAAACGTTAAGCCAATCTTAAATATTATTAATCTTTCTATATTTGTTTTACTATTAATTTAAATATTGAGTTAACAATAATTAATACTTTTGTTTGAAATATTGTACAAAAATAAAATGCTTTAATGTTTTAAACAAATAACTCGTTATTTAATCCACAATTTAATGATATGTCTAATTAAAGGGGTTTCAATTTCATGTGCAATCTCTGCGCCAAAATATCCGTCACTTTCAATAAAGTCCATAAAACTATAGGTTCCGCCGCCGACACCGAAGTAATGGGATTTCGAGGCGATATAAACGGTTCCCGTCGGCGATAGACACCACTTGAATACTTTGCATAACTTTTCATAATTATCGCAATTATAGAGTGTCTCCGAAGTGAAGATCAAATCAAACTTAACGCTGCAGTGGATATCATCGGCGGTGGCGGACCAGTCGCCGTACAGGTAATGGAAACGAGACAACACTTCTTCGCTATTGGATACTTCGCTATTCAATAGTACGTTAACTGATGTAAAATATTTGATCACATTTTCGTTGAAATCTTGCAAATAATGGTTAGCTTTTGGCAACTTTTTGGAGCAATAAATGGACGCCAAACCAGAACCGCATCCCAACTGTTGGCACAAATAGATTGCAATTAATTTTAATTCATTTCAAACATTAATTAACTGTCCATTACTTCCAAGACATTGAGGTTTTC